ACACACACACACACACACACACACACACACACACACACACACACACACACACACACACTCTCTGTTCATTTACTCTCTGATATTTTATAAGCTCATACAGCAGACTGCCTGACCCTAAAGCTGTTTCTGTTTCACCACTTTTTTACTAAATGAACTTTAGTTTGAAACGGGGGATTGAACCAGCAACCCTCCAGTTACAGGACGACTCCCCTAACCACACTGAGAACATCTGTCAAACATCCTGTCGTTAAAAACTGCTGTGAAGTATTCAGCCAATCACATTTCATCTTGTTAACAGAAAGAAGACGACAACTGTCCGTCCTCCATGAACCACTGCATCCTGCTGCAGGAGCGCCCAATCAAACAGACCATCACCAGGTGAGGGGTGGAGCCTACACGCAGAGCTGTGATTGGTTTATCTTAAATAACAAGTGTTTTTATGTGTTGAATCAGAGAGGCCCTAACTCTGCTGCTTGATACGTTTTATAACGAAGCTGAGTCCTTCCTGCTGTCACAGGTAACACACACCTGTCACAGGTAACACACACCTGTCACAGGTAACACACACCTGTCGCAGGTAACACACACACATGTCGCAGGTAACACACACTGTCACAGGTAACATAAACACCTGTCACAGGTAACATAAACACCTGTCACAGGTAACATAAACACCTGTCACAGGTAACATAAACACCTGTCACAGGTAACGCACACCTGTCACAGGTAACACACACACTGTCACAGTTAACACACACCTGTCAAAGGTAACACACACCTGTCGCAGGTAACACACACCTGTCACAGGTAACACACACCTGTCACAGGTAACACACACCTGTCACAGGTAACACACACCTGTCGCAGGTAACACACACTGTCACAGGTAACATACACACACTGTCACAGGTAACATACACACCTGTCACAGGTAACATAAACACCTGTCACAGGTAACATAAACACCTGTCACAGGTAACATAAACACCTGTCACAGGTAACG